CGGCCGGCCGGCCACACACACACACACACACACACACACACACACACACACACACACACACACACACACACACACACACACACACACACACACACACACACACACACACACACACACACACACACACACACCACACACACACCACACACACACACACACACACACACACACACACACACACACACACACACACACACACACACCAGGAGCGGAAGGACTGTGGAATGGCTTCATCCACTGTTAAACATATTAAAGGGTTTTCAAGTGACTCAAAACAGATGAAAAGCAATCTAATCTCACCAGAGGCCTGTACTACGAAGCTGGTTCAACCTAACCTGGATATGTTTGAGTTAGCCGGTTGGCCCAATCCAAAACATACGCGCTCTGGCTAAGCGGTACTACGACGCTGGTTATGAAGTGGATCGCTCAAGCCAGCCGTGTCCTATCTAGTTAGGTGCGCGTTCACATGAAAGGGGTGGTATCTGGAGCATTCGACCAATCTCAAACACGGACAAGCGTACTGACAGCGCAGCGTCATACTTCCTGAATGAAAAGTGAACTTTAATATTAGTCAAATATGAAGAAGTTAAACTTTAAACATCCATGACTTAAACACTTTATCCAGGATCAAAGCCACATAGCTGCACCTGCAAGGTGAATACAGCTGGTAACAGAAAAAGTGTTTGAATGCGTACATTAACAGGTTTATGATATCACTGCCCCGTCCAAGACACGATCTGACTTTAATTACATTTGACTCGAGTGTTTCGTCAACTTAATGTGTTGCTTAAAATAATACTTCTGCATACAGTATGTGACACTGAGTGTTGCACGGCCAGATACGGCACAAGAAGCTGACTCAGATAAGGAAATATATGATACATTATGATGTGATATGATATGAATGATAATGGGACACATCTACGTCTGCACTCACAGTGCCGCGGACTGTACTTAATGTTACTCTGATCCGGTTACTTATGTCGTGGCAGATATTTAAGTAAGCTTTCTTAACGCTAATGTTATAATAGTCAGATTGCTCTGAAGATGGGAGGGGATATTCTATTCATTTTCACGTTCACACAGTTGGTGATTTTTGCCGGCCATCTTTCTGTATTTCCTCTCTCCTGTAATATGAATTGATAGCTTTAAACTCCGCACACTGAGCTCTGATTGGTCAGCAGGCGGTGCTTTCACTGAGTTGATCTCTTAGCCTGAGTTTGACACTGTTGGACTCAGTACTAGTGAAACTACTCTCACAAGTACTATGAAGTACTTTTACTATATGTACCTTTCCAGTAATCCTCTGTCAATGTCCCCTCATGAGAACAAGAATGCATGTTTTTCTGCTATTTTTAATAAGCATTAAAACACCTTTCTTCCTGAGACTGATATTATTGGACAGAGTATTTTAAGAGGATATGGTGGACATATTATCAGCAATACTTCCAGTCAGTACTCCGGCAGCAGCATTTTACACCTTGGAACTTCTTTAGAGTCTGGCCTGGATAGCTGGTCTATCCTTCAGCAAAGTGACACACTCTGTGACTCTGGTTGCCCTCTTATGATGCTGCTGTCTTTTAATATATCATTATTTCTCTACCGCTAGTTGGTTCCTCGCAGATTCTTCAGTCTCATCAGCCTCATCCTTCCATCAGTCCCAGTCAACGCCTCCAGCACACTTCCAGTGTCTGACTCCATATGATATTGTCCTGATGCTGTAAGGGTGATGCCCCATGATCACAAAATGATCCCTCTAGAGCAGGGGTCGGCAACCCCTGCTGGCACGCGGCACCGTAACCAGTGGCACACTAGGAATAAGTGGAATAAGTGTGCAAGATATTTAAATTGTATTTTCGGATCCTGAACGAGACCGCCGCCAGAGCGCGTCTCCGTTACCTGCAGAAGGAAGCCATGCACGCAGCGCAGCCCCGCTCTGTTTAACTCCAGGTGACTTTCTGCCGCTTTCCTCCGTGGTGCAGTGCTGATCGTTTCACCACAGAGGAAAGCACTTCACAAATTGCATTACCCATAAGGAGCTGTACAAATGCCACAGTTTTTGCGTGGCTGTGTCTTTAGTTGAAAGCCCAGTGGCGATCTGCTCATCTCTCATTGAAATAATATGCTACAAAGGGGCGGACTGGCCATCTGTGTGTTGAACTTTCCTGTCGGCTCCCAGACCGTAGTCGAGGAGGGCAGAAGCAACAAGCTTCAGGTTCAATAACCCACTTTAGCTTAAATGACTGGAGAGAGGCGAGCTCTTCTTGAGAGGCCGTTGCATTTATTTAGCTGTTCTTCTGTTTCACAAAATACATCACAGACCTCTGTTTTTCTGCTGCCTCGTTTCACTTCCAGAAACATACACACTGTCGCTCTACCATCCACACACACACACACACACCCCTCTCTCTCTCTCTTAAAGGGACAGCGATCTCATCTCACTCTGCAGACCCTAATATCATAACATGTGTGTTCTGGAGAATCACAGAACGGACGATCGTCCTTATTATTATGCCGTTTAAACCAATTATTTAAATGTGTTTGTTAAATTCGGCATCATGTAAGTTGTGCTGACAGGTCCACACACTGCTTCCCTGCAGCGAGGCTATGCTATATGCGAGGCTATATATATATATACCATATATGTATATATATATATATACCAATATATATACCAATATATATATATATATATATATATATATATATATATATATATGCCTTTTTTGGAGCCCTTTTTTTCCCAATATTTATTAAAATGTCACTAGTTATTTAAACAAACCTGAGGATAATACAAGCAACCATAAAACGCCCTTTATCTAGTATATACAAGTAAGTATAAGTATAACATGGAGAAGGAAATAAAATACGTTTCATAGGAGGATGTGGATTTATTTTCTCTCACCTTGTAATTACACAATCAAACAATCTATAATTTAGCTCTGGCCTTCACTCACAACAAATGTGTGTAATTGTGTAAAAAAATTGTGTAATGTGTAAGACACATTTTTTGAATCTCTATTGACTGACACGCAATGACTGGGACTGATGGAAGAATCTGAGAGGAACGAACTAGGAGCAGAGAAATAGTCCTATTTAAAAGACAGCATTGTCATAAGAGGCCAACAAGAGTGACAAGGTGTGTCAGTGTGCTGAAGGATAGACCAGCTATCCAGGCCAGTCTCTAAAGACTTTCCAAGGTGTACAAATGCTGCTGCCGGAGTACTGCCTGGAAGTATTGCTGATAATATGTCCACCATATCCTCTTAAAGTACTCTGTCCAATAATATCAGTCTCATGAAGAAAGGTGTTTTAACGCTGATTGAAAATAGTAGAGAAACATGCATTCTTGTTCTCAGGAGGGGACATTGACAGAGGATTTTTTAAACAACACACTAGAAGTACTTCATTGTATTGTGGTAGTAGGTGTAAGACTACTGAGTCCAGCAGTATCAATATCATGAAGAACTAATGGTAAAATTGTCTTTTTATCATTCATCAAAGATAGCATTATGTACTATGGAGGGGACTCTGACAGAGGATTACTCACAAAGTACACAGTAAAAGTTGTCCATTTTAGACACAGGCTTATTATATTTACAGCCCGTAATAACATTCATTTTCTGGGCTCAATGTGTGTCTTGGCTGTTTTCGTTGTGATCGCTAAATTCACCTCGTTTCCCCTTGTTTATAATATTATCACCGTTCCAAGCACACGAGTGCTTTTGTTTTGAAATCACTTCCCTGAGTTTCGCCCCGCCCCTCGCTCCAACGACCATTAGACCATTTAGTAAGGTCAAAAGCAAAAAGGCCTCTCAGACGCTCTTCCGTTTACTTGTTTAATAAAGAAAAACAATTGGACGGTAGATACACGGATTCTTTTGGCACCTTTGTCTTTCTCACAATAATTATTAAATTATGATCAGTACACCCTACTGGAATTGATATTGCCTGAGAACATACATGGCTAAAATTAGTAAATATATGATCAATACAAGTTGCACCTTTTGACCCATCTTTCTTTATGCATATCCTAGTAGGTTTAGTCACCATTTGTACCAAGCTACATGTATTAGTTATTGTCTGCAGCTTGTGTTTAAGGGCACAGTGCAACATATTCCAGTCAATATTTAAATCTCCGATCAAATAAATCTCTCTGTCAAGATCACAAACTTTATCTAACATTTCACATCATTTGTCTAAATAAATTAAGTTTGCATTTGGAGGTCTGTAACAACATCCTACCAACAAAGGTTTCAAGTGAGGTAAATGAATTTGCATCCAAAGTACAGTAGAGAGGAGAGGAGAGAGGAGAGGAGAGGAGAGGAGAGAGGAGAGGAGAGAGGAGGGAGAGGAGAGGAGAGAGGAAGGAGAAGAGAGAGGAAGGAGAGGAGAGAGGAGAGAGGAGAGGAGAGGGGAGGGAGAGGAGAGAGGAGAGAGGAGAGAGGAGAGAGGAGAGAGGAGAGGAGAGGAGAGGAGAGAGGAGAGGAGAGAGGAGAGGAGAGGAGAGGAGAGAGGAGAGGAGAGGAGAGAGGAGAGGAGAGAGGAGAGAGGAGAGAGGAGAGAGGAGAGGAGAGGAGAGAGGAAGGAGAGGAGAGAGGAAGGAGAGGAGAGAGGAGAGAGGAGAGGAGAGGGGAGGGAGAGGAGAGAGGAGAGAGGAGGGAGAGGAGAGGAGAGAGGAAGGAGAAGAGAGAGGAAGGAGAGGAGAGAGGAGAGAGGAGAGGAGAGGGGAGGGAGAGGAGAGAGGAGAGAGGAGAGAGGAGAGGAGAGGAGAGAGGAGAGGAGAGGAGAGTCCTGCACGGGTCTGATTTTCAAGACCCGCTCCCGCCCCGCACCCGCGACGTGCAATACCGATAGTTTTGGTCTTGATATTCTTGTCAAAATGAAGTGGCATTACTTCACTGGTTGTGGCCACTGTGACCGACTGAAACACTTGTTCAAGAGGATTGGTTTCTCACTAAACATCAAGCAACCCAATGTTTCAAGTCCTTCATACTTACTTTCTCTCCAACCTCCGTGAGTTCACGACCAGGCAGCAGCTCCAGGTCAGGGTCCAGGGCGCAGGCCTGGATCACCTCCTGGAACCTGGTCTTGTCATGTTGAGAGCCAAACAGGACGTTGTCTTTCAGAGTCGCATTTTGGATCCAGGCCTGCTCAAAGGCTAGAGAATCCTGGAGAGAGTCACAGAAATATTCAGGCGCAGACTTCCTTTTAACTGCACTGTTTTCTGAAGTACCCGTCTTGATGCTGCTGCACAACTGAAATCCATTAGGTCTAATATGGAGCACATCTTTCCAGGTTTGAAGAGCTGGTTGCTAAGTAGCCTGAATGCGATAGGAGAGCTTGCAACATGTAGGCTGTGTCACTTAGCAATGATATGAGTGTTTTCTCGAGTTGTGTTTTTTACGTTATATGTTGGAGAACCATTGTTGTATTCTAATCCTACATGCTTGTATCTACTAATGTGCTGTTGCCTTAATCATAAGAGTACATTCATAATATACAGAATTCATCAGGAGAAATAAATATGTAAATGAAACAATAATAAAATGTTATTTATGCTTGGGAGTAAACCATGTACTTATGCAAGACCATGTGCATGCATGCAAATAAGAACGCATGCATGTAATAAGTTGACAATGTAAACCCTTTACCACCCCACCATCTATTTTTCTAGTGTATTGTCCTGTTTCTTGTAAAAAAAATAAAAAACAGCCTTAAAGCCAAACAGAATTAAATGTCCTGAACATTTGATGAGTCAATGTTCAATTATAACCAGGGTGAAAAATGTTGTGCATAATTACGTCTATCATTAATTAAGAACGCAATACTTTTGTTAGACAGATGTGAAGACAGAAATAAATATCACCTGAATGTTAATGAAGCCCTTTGGTGGAGTGCATCTCTCCCAGGAGGGCTGACATGAGAGAAGACTTTCCTGAACCCACAGCTCCCACTACTGCCACCAACCGACCTGGCTTAATATCTAAGGAAACACTGGCAAACGCACACAGGAAAATGATGTTCAACATTGTTAAATACAGTAGGAGCAGACACAATATTTTTCAGCCATATAGCGTAATATCTAAATATGTATTTTATTGTTTGACACAACAGACGTACTTTTTCAGCAGAGGCTCAGATTGTCTTTCCCAAGCAAAGGAGCCATCTTGTACACTAACAGCAGAGTCTAGAAGATGAACAGAGATGCATAGACACATGAAAAGACTGACAGATAGGAGTGCACATGGATCTGAGGAACATGTGTAAATGCTGATTGTGAACATACTGAAACTGGGGTCATGGAGCACAACATCAGTTTTAAGGTCCTCGCCTCCCAGGAACTTCTCCAGACGCTTTTTAGACACCGTCATCCAACATGCCAAAAAGTTAGTGGGCTTCCAGCGTGTGTGTGTGTGTGTGTGTGTGTGTGTGTGTGTGTGTGTGTGTGTGTGTGTGTGTGTGTGTGTGTGTGTGTGTGTGTGTGTGTGTGTGTGTGTGTGTGTGTGTGTGTTGTTCCCTTAACTTGGACCTCCGGGGTGGCCTTATGGAGGAGTGGATTGAGCAGTGCCTATCTCCAGAAAGCACCTAAACGACGACATGCAGAGCTACGTGAAGAGCAGGTAGATCAACTGGAAAAGTACCCCCATTCAAAAGCTTTCTGATGCGGGTCTTGTGTGTGTTCCAAGTGAATCTGCGGCCCCCTGGTGGCCAGTACATAAATGATGTGGCCCCCACCACCATCCAAGTTGCCCATCCCTGATTTACATGAACAAATGAAATGCATATATAACGTTTATTACAAAAATCACAAACAAACTCTAAATCAGGGTTACTACGTAAAGTATCAGTGGGTTTACGAAAAACATTTGCTGTCAGCTAAAACAATGGTAATGCAGATACACCAACTGTATATGCTGTCCTAAGACCAGTTTCTTAACCATCGCTGTTTGTTTTGAATAATGTTCCCATCCCCAGAGCCTCCCTCTGCTCATTCTAACAGAAACCTGAACAAAATGGGAGTATTTTGTTTTTCTTACATCAAAAATGCAGCTAGAAGAAGGCTGTGATTACCTGGCTCTGAATTGGTCCGATTTCTTTGCTCTTTGGCATATGTGTATAGAAATTCAGAAAACGCTCCCCTGCTGGCACGAATGCTTTTATAGGACCCAACCTCTGATACCACTCCATCCACCAAGACCACTATTTCATCTACATACAGTGTATGGGAGGAAGCTCACTCCATGAGTCACCAGGATGCGAGTCTGTTAAAGTGAAGAAACACTTGGTCTCAACTGTGACACCAATATTAACTTCAAACAGTAAAGAAATTGAAAAATACATGGTCTATAAAATGCCTGTATATTCCTATACAATACTAATGGAGCAGGAGACGTGGTTTCAATTGATCAAAAATATACTATTTTATTAAGCACAAGTGAATAGTTAAAATGCAGTTCAAAACAGTCGCACAGGGCTGTAGCACAAAGGGGAACATGAATTGGGGCTGAGGCTTACCAGTGGGGGGATAGGGTCGACGAGTGAGTGGAAGGATCCCCAAACAAACCAAACTTAAATCACCCCAGTCATACGTGCAGGAAATCAAATCCCGGGGGAGCACATCACCGACAGAAGGAGGGAGGAAGACCACCACCTTGGACACCAGCAGCACCAGCTTCAGCTCTCAGTAACTACGTTGGGAAACAAAGAGGGAAACGCAGTTAATGGGGGCTAAATACGTCAATCAAAATAATAAACAAACACAATATCAAATATGTTCTCATAAACAGACAACTTCTGTAAACATTTAAAATAAAACAAATCACAAGAGAAAAGGTTCAGTCAAACAAAATAAACATCAAGTTGGCCAAAGTAAGGACAAGTTATAGAGGGAGTTAGCCCCAGAGTTCAGTGACTTCCACACTTCAAA